TTCTAAAAGAATTCTGAAAAATTGACTTTATTTTTGCAAAAATTTACGTTATAAATATAAACATATACAAACAAAATAGTAAAAGTGCCATTGTATATTTAACTTAAAAGAATTTTCTGGAAAATATGTAAATATAAAAGCAATATGTTTCAAGCATATAAAAGATTCTTTCATCTCTTCAGACTAAAATAAACTTCTCTCTTCCATCTTAGTCCCTTTGGAAATCACTATGTATTATTTCATTGTAATGTAATTTAATAGAAAATTGTATATTACAAAACAATCTCTCATAATTTTAATACTGCTAAAAAAATTTTATAGATGTTATTATATATAACAGAATATGTATCAGAATTTTTTAAATTAATTATGTTATATTACATTTAGTTTATTTATGTTTTATACAATTTTTTATACAAATCTCTCTCTTACTTGAAATTATTCATCAACTACGAAATTACCTGCAACTGCGAAATTTTGATGCACTGCTATACGGGATAAATTTATATACTGTGACACACTCATGGTCCGATATTATTGTCCGATATTACAGCAATCACTATTGGTTTTCGATGAAATGACCATATACATATGACATTGTCGTCGATAACGATGATCGATAATCGGAAGCTTTTTCTTTGTAGAATCGTTTACTCTGCACTCACTCGTTTATGATGCACTCACGAGACAAAGCATCTTAGCGCTCAATAAAAAAAGTTGATAATGATATTATTAATCTCTCCCACAATACTTTTAACATTTTTATTTAAAACATAGTCAAACCTACTTGTCCATTTTATATATATCATAACAGATATTAATAAACTTACATTTTTTTATTAAGAAGAAGAGATAAAAAAATAAAATTTTTTTTTAAAGCTTAAATAATAATGCTCAATAATAATATAAAAAAGTACAAAAATTTCTATAAATTTTTTTTTTTCATGCATCTGTATTTAGAACAGTTATAGAAGCTGTAATAGCTATGACATTAATGTATTTATTATTTTTTTATACAGCTTGTAAACTATTAGTAGAATAAATTGGAGAATTTTTTAAAGTAATAATGTAAGTAGTAGAAAATATAACAAAATATAGTAATTTATACGTTAAACATAAAAATATGAATAAGAATAAAATAATGAAATTATTATCGAAATAAAAACTCATTCGTAATCATTTATTTCAATAGCATAAAACTTGATAAATATAAGAAATTCGAAAATTGGATTCAATTTTTTTGTTCAAAATTATATTATATTTGAATTATTTGAAATTGTATATTATTATATTCATCTTACAAAAATAGAGATAAATGTAGATTTCGTAAAAAAATAAATATAAATAATTCTTATTCTCACATTATTTCTAATAATAATAAATTATAAAAATTTATTTTTATGTTTTTAGGATTTATATAGCATAATTGATTTAATATTTTGTGTATTACTTTGTTAATTTTTTTACATAACTAATATAATCTCAAATTTTATTTCAATGAACATTCAACAAAGCTAACTTTTTTTACGAAATAATAAATGAAAATTTAGAAACTTTATAATTTTTTTCATGGCTTGTAATCGTGTAGTTATGTTGAAATAAAAGAATTAATTCGTCATGCAAATTAAATCCATATTTATAAAAGCCATTCAACTTCCGAACTCTAGACAAAGATCGTACTAATCTTGTATTGAGATTGTCTAATGAAACGTAAACCGATAGTTTATGAAATAGAATAAAGTCAGAACAGTTCCAAAAGGAAAACCGACGAACCTTTCGTCCAATCTAAAGGACGACCTTGACAAATCACTCCAGGCGCTCATACTCCGGCTTCGTCTCCTGCAGGACTGCTGCGGCGCTAGCAGTCTATTGCTGCTCCTTCGTCTAGTGTTAGCCAGATTCTCTGCTTGAAAATATACTCTAGGTGCTTTCTGCTGGGACGCGCTCGGTGGCGTCGAAGTCGGCGTAACCGCCGTCGAAGTGTGGAGTTCCGGCAAGGCCTCGTAGTCCCATGCTCTTGCGCCCATATCGAGCAGGGGCACTGACGAGGCTGCGCTGGAATCACGGAGCGGGTCCCGAGGCTTGCGATAATGAAACAGGGCGAAGAAACAGCACTCCGACTCGTTCTTCTTTTCCTTCTTCTTTTTCTTCACTGCCGGTAGCTTCACTTTGAAATAATCGCAGGACGTGTAAGATTTACCGGCGACGTCCGGCCACATAGTTCCTTCGACCACATCGCAGTAAATCTCCAATCATTCAACTGAATGATTATATTTAATCGATGAAGCACAAGTAAACAAATCCGAAGAAATACATAATTGATTGATAATAGAGAAAAAGAATTAATGAATCTTGAAACATCTTGAGAAAATGACGATCAATTGGCTTATTATAAAATTTGTCCATTTCTTCTATGATTCTTATACTGTTGTAGTTTTATTTCGCGAAATTATAAATGCTTGCATAACTTCGTAGCATTTCTATACTCATATCCTTCTATACTCATATCTATTAATCTTGCAGTCCTTGTTCCTTTAATTACCAAAATCAAGTTTGAAGAGAACTACTATCGGAGATTCAAAATTCATGTTCAAACGTTGCACTAAATTAGCAAAGCCCTTCTATTTTCAATTTTTAAAAGGATTTCGAAGAAGATTCAGTTAGAATATTATCTGCTTTCTTGATTTGTAGCAGACAACGAAATTATGGAAAAAATGTAAGCGTCTGCTTAAAGTTGTTTCACTATCTGTGAAAGTTGATTACGTTCAAGCCAAGAAATGTCTTCCTTACAGAAATAACTAGAAACATTCAGCAAAAGTAAGTCGATGAAAAAGAAGAGAAGGTAATCTTGTGAGAGAGCTATTTGTGTACGATGAAAGGAACTCTCAAACGATTTGAATAATTTCGATCTTATTTTCAATCCACCAAATAATTTGTATAAGTTCCTGCAGAGATGGAAGACGATACTTGTAGATATAGTAACTTTGCGAAGTGGTTTTACATAACTAAAGTATTTCCTGCTTTGTTGAGAATATTACAAACTATTGCACAAACCGCTATAGTTGATATTACTTCAACTAATATAAGCTCTTAATACCATTAACAACATTCATCAAAATTCCGAAATTTCGTAGCTCTGAATATTAATTTCTCCGATGTTAATTTACTAATTCTTAATAAAATTCACATTAAACATTTATTTTTTAAAAGCTGCAGTTTCTCAAAATTTTAACTCCCAACAAGCTTTAACAAATCTCATATAACTAATATTTTGATATAATAAATATCATCAACATATATTTATATTTCTTTTGTTAACTATGTGGATAACAATTTGCGTTGACTACTTTTAATCATCGAAAATACGTCGAAAAGCGTAGTTTAGATAATAATAATAACAAGTGCAGAGTAATTTGAAATTTTGTCCTGTTTTTGCTCAATCATTGTCAAACTTCGATTACTGTAAAGGAGAATTTTATGAAATTCAGTCTTCTTGTACTATGTTTGACATTAAATGATACTCACGTTGAATACCATCGTCGTGAGATAACAATAACCATTAATCGCAAATAACAATATAACAGCGTGAAACATTAACGCACCTTGCGCAACTATAGAAATATATTTGGCAATTCCATTAGAATCATTTTGTATAGATTGGCACCTTTTTACTCGACAAATGAAAATATACTATGTTAAAGCATTTTGTGAGAGATTGAATTCACACTTTCTCTTTTTTAAGTGAAAGTTAAAAGAGTTTTTCTAATACTCCATTTGAACGGTCACTTTTTTATCAAAGTAGAGCAACGTTTATTTTAAACTTATATTGTTTTACGTATTTTTTTATGCATTACAAACTTATGTGAATTATTAACGATAATTACACGCACAAAAGGTGAATAAAAAATCGCATAAAAAAAAAATGTTAAAATCCAAACCAAGATAATAAACTGTTTTTTTTAATAAACTGCTTTTTTACTATTATCTTTTTCATTAAGCAAAAAAATTAGTATTTTGTATTAGAATCTCACTAGCGGATTCTTCGAGATAATAAATAATGTCTAGCAAATACACAATAACATTTCAATTGATTGCAACTACTGTCGCCGCGACGGCGGTCGCAAAAGCATTTCGAGTCACATTGTTTGCACGACATCGTTTCCGTCTGACCTGAATGACGTCACATGATGATCGAAGGTCACGGTCAACAACTATAACAACGAGAACATGCTCCTTTGCAAGCAACTTGAGCTCAAATTTAACATCTCGATAAGGTTATATAAGTTTCAGCTTACTAAATGTTTTATTTAACAAGCCCCTGAATGCTCATATATCTTTCAGTATACCTCAAGTTTAGATTGTGTTTATTGTGTTAATTTAAATTGCATTTCAGATTTTATCGATCCTCAACCACTTCAGTCTCTCAAATACTTCAACAAATGGCAATTAAGTTTCATACATATTCATATTTTCCTCTTAAAACCTCAGTTCAATGTTCGGCAAAGTGACAAATAGCATACAGGTGTTTTCTGTAGGCAGTAAGATCTTTGGATCACGTAAAAACAAGATATTCTTTGTGTCATAACATACATCTCCTTTTTGAGTTTAAAGCCACTTGTTTTCTTGAGAATCTCCATTTTGTCAACTCTTTTTTAAATTTTCTTTCAATTTCTTTCATTTAAATTTTATTTTTAACACTATCTCTGTAGCATTCTTTACATTTCGGAAATATATCTTAAAATTTACACAGTCAAATGTCCAGTCACTTAAAAATCCTTCTTCATATACCAATTGTACTTCTATCATAAATTTAAAAACAATCGATTCTTCATGTATCAAAGATATTCTCCAAAATTCATTAATAACGCAAGTATCGAAACTTCAAGATCTCGCTTATACCAATAAGCTGTGGTACACTTGCCGCAGGTGGCTGCGTCTCACGAGGATACCGTCCCACTGTCACTTCTAGGAGCAGTTAAGGGAGGATCGTTATCTACTTCGTCATCCTCCGATTCGCTACACTCAGGAACAGGTGCCTGCATTATTAAGATTTCACTGAGACCGAAAAGTAACAGTACATTGTGCGCTTCACGATTTAAGAACGAAGCTTTCGAAAAAGGTACAAGATATTATTGGCGTTCTGCACACACTCACGATACTTCCCAGCCGACGTCGCTGATCACCAATCCAATTCACAACCGTCACCGAAGTGGAATCTAACGAGTGTCGTATTGGAGTATAATGAAATGCCGCATCGTCCTTGATATTCGACGAGCGCGTTATGATAGTTAGTATATACAACTTCGTGATCACACCTTGTGTGAAGAAGAAATCCGGAGCAACTTCGAGAACAATCTCTCGTGAATCTCACAATTATCGTCGCTCCTTCATACACATTATGTCATAAACTAGCACAACGACGAGAATCGTACATCTTCGTGAGCAATCGGTCTTCATAAGATATAGAATGGCGGAAAGCGAACAGCTGAACGATCGTATTGTCTCAGCCGATAGTGGTTTTTTCGTGGCGTGAGAGAGGAAGACCAGCTTGCAGCTCACTATCCCGTACTGCGGTACACGCTAGCGGTTTTCTCTCGCGCGCCACCCTCTCGCGCGCTCCGCCGACCTTCCAACCCCTGTATTTCACCTTTTCTCTCTAACTAGGTACCATCAAGTGCGCTGTCGCGCTCTCTTCTTCTCTCTCTCACTCTATCATCGCGCAGGGTGTAATCGTCGTTTCTCTCACTCGCTCCTGTAAACGTTATCCTTTTCCATCTCTTCACCGTCCGTCGACGCCGTCCATCGTGAAAGGGCGCACATACATGCATATAGCGCCGCCGTTGTCAAGGCGACTGCGCCACTTTGGAGTGCATCGGAGATCTACTCTACCTCTCATCATTTCAGCTCAGCAGCCTGTCATGTCCAAGTTGCTTGTGAATCTTTAGTATCTTGTGAATAACAAATGACCACGGAACATTAATATAAATGACGATGACATACGCGATTTATTCACTCTTTATCCTCAATTATAGTGTTTATGTTTCTGCAGATTCCTTTAATAATAGTATCTTTTGAGAAAAACGATATAATATAGAGTCACAATTAAAGATTATAAATTATCAATTTCTTGGCAAAAAAAAATGTTTTCGTGAGTTTTTCTTTCAATGCATTTCTAAAATTAAAAATATTATAATGTTGGGATTGTGAGTCTTTATTATTTAAAATTACTTATTAACGATTTTCAGTGAGATGGATTTATTATAATTAATTTTTTCACTAAACTATATTACTGTTCTTTTTTAATATTAATTTTATTAATTAAATTATTTAATAACTGATTTTTTTGTATAACTCTCTCGTTAATGAGCTCTCTCTATTAATAAGCATTCCTGTTTGATCAGCGAGAACACGTGCTGTATTAAGGGCATGCTTCCACTTTTGGGGCGGTGGGTTATTTTGGAGTAACGGAACAGGATGAATGGACGGCTCGGATAGACAGCATCGATTTGTACCGAGAGTCAAACTTGCGTGACGAGCTTGCGCTGTAGTGTAGACGGAAGACTTGAAATCTAATGTAAGTGAACCACGTGGTTTACTACTATGCGGCGAGTTTACGTTAATAAAAATTCAAAAGTATGTGCAAGAAGCTAATATTTTTAATGAGATTTTTTTATTTTGTTTATATTTCTATGACTTTTAATGCAACTTCATGCATCGTATTGTAATTTTTTGCACGAAAATTAGAGATAAAGATTTGGCCCGATTTCACTAATGTAAAATTAACTTTATATTCTCGATTTAATTTATTCTTTATCTTTGTCCAATTTTAAGAATTATTTTCTAATTTTTTTCTAATTTTTTTTAAATTTCTTTCTAATTTTAAGAATTAATTAATTAAAATTATTTTTATTTAAAAACTGTAGTTCGACATTTTGACATAAGATTTGTCTGAAATGATCTCATAAATCTGCTATTAATGGGTGTATCACTCTACTATTTATGTAATAAATTATCGTTATACAGAGTA